AGGAGGAGGAACTCTCCTTACGCGAAGCAGTTATTAGGGAGCAGCAACAAAACTTCGAACGCGAAGTAGAAAAACAAAAACGCGATATGAAAACAATCCGCGAGGAACTCGAGAAACGGGAACTCGAAATAATGAAACATTCGAATAGGGCAGCCAAGCACACGCCGACCCCGCTTATCGACTTCGGGCAAGAACTCGCGACACTGCGGGCTGATGTAGCAAACTTACAATCGCACCGAAATCCGCCACCTTCGCTCCAAGACTCCACAGCCATCGACCCACAAACGTCCGCGATACCCTCGCAGGAAACCGCCGGAGGAACTAATCCACGCATAACTTTCCGCGAAGCGCTGGATACTATCCCCCACTTTGACGGACGAAATATCCCGGTTACGCAATTCATACGGGCGTGCAGACGCGCGAAAGAAATCGTACCATCGTCATCGGAGAGAAATCTGACCCGATTAATTCTCACCAAACTTCGCGGTCGCGCCGCGAGTGCCGTAGACGACGAAATCTGTGAATCGGTGACACAGCTCGCGGATTTGTTAAACGACGCGTTCGGTTCCCCGAGGACAATCGATCAGTACCGCGGAGATCTGAGCACCATTTTCTTAAAACCTCAAGAGCATATACTCGACTATATCACCCGTGTGAAAGATCTCAGGACCTCCATCCTGGACGAGGAAAGACGAGCGAACGGTGCCACCAAACCAGAAACAACAGAAGACGTAGATAGATTAACGGCGCGATCTTTTTGCGAGGGACTCCCCCTCCCCTACCGCCTCCAATTGGCTCCCGAACATTACATACATCCTTTTGCCGCATTCTCCCACGCCAAAGCCTTGGCCAAAAGACAGGAGCTCGACAACGAGCGCAGTGAAACTTCACGCCGAGCGGAAAGAAACACTGACAGGCCTGTGTTTATGACCGGGAAACCACTGGCGCGCCCTACTCCCATAAATCCCGAGAGGAGCTACGAGTCATGGAACAACCGGTATTCTAACACCGCCCCCCCCCCCCTATAGAGGCCCGAATGTCGAAAATAGGCGCGTAAATACTTATGAACCCCGAAATACCGATAGACCGCGATACGACAGATCTCGAGACGTAACCGCGACCAAATTTTGCCGGTATTGCAAAAAGGACGGGCATAATATAGAAGAGTGCAGAAAAAAACAATATAACGATTCACGACAATATTCGGGAAACGCCGAACGCCCCTCGGGAACACGGGACGAACCTCGAGCGGTGGGCTCACGGGAACCGATTCGTCCTGTAAAAGCGATAACCATAGCGCAAGCGGCGGAACCGTCCGTATCGCAATGCTAAGCCCAAATAATTTCCGTCACGCGCCTACCGTGACACTATCCGCGGACGGACTAGTAGATGAAACAAAATTCATGGTGGACACGGGCGCCGCACCAAATCTTATAAAATTAAGGAAAATAGAATCCGGTAATCCCGTAGATAAAACTTTCAAAATATCCCTCTGCGGAATTACCGAGGGCCGGACTGAAACTCTAGGCACAGTCGATATAAATTATCTTGGGCATAAAATTCAATTCCATATCGTCAAGGACGATTTTCCCATTTCTCAAGACGGAATCTTAGGTTCCGAGTTTCTACAAAACGCGTCGAGAATAGACTTTTCCGAGAATCTAGTAATGTGGTAAGGCCACCCTATCTATTTCAATGACCACGAAAAGGTCATCATTCCAGCTAGGTCGCGCACAGTACTTTCGCTCCGGGTGCGTAATAACGAAATCACTACCGGCTATGTGCCGCGAATCGCAGTACATGATAACGTCTACTTAGGAGACGCCGCAGTGACTAATCGCAACGGGAGAGCACATTTATGCGCTATTAATACTAGCGAAGAGAACTTAGAAGTCACGCTGCCAACAGTAGAACTTCTGGAGTTCGATCTAAATCCGCCCTCCCCTACGGGAGGCGCACTCCAAATCTCGAGACAAGGAAATAAATCCTCTGCCGTAGGGCCTGAGGAGTTGTCTCAATTCAACGAAATCAATAAAGTAAAGAAATCGCCTAATGTATCGGGAAACAGATCCTCTGCTCTAGGGCCTGAGGAGAAACTCCCTCTCAACGGAAAAAACGGAGAGAAAAAACTTTCCGACGGTTTGGGAAATAAAACCGCTGCCCTAGGGCTTGCGGGAAGAATCCCATCACAAAAGAAAAATAAAAGCAGACCCCTCGCGGACGAACCTCCGATCTTAGGACACGGAAGGCACGACTCCGAGGGCAAGCAAGTTATTGCCGCTATAAATACTCAAGGATCCAGAAAAGGGACGCGATACCAAGAGATAAAACCTCTACTTCGCCTGGATCACTTGAACATAGAGGAAATCGAGCACGTTAACGAATTAATTGACGAATACAGCGACCTTTTTCATCTTCCCACTGACAAACTGAGTCACACAGACGTGACGACGGCCCACAGAATAGAAACCACTGACGATACCCCTATCCATACAAAACAATACCGTTTTCCGCCTATGCACAAGGAAGAGATAAATAAACAAGTAAGCGAATTGATACAAAATGATGTAATCAGGCCATCAACGTCACCTTATAATTCTCCCTTGTGGATAGTGCCTAAAAAGCCGGACTCGCACGGAAACAAGCGTTGGCGAATGGTTATCGACTACCGCGGGTTAAACGAAAAAACCATCGGCGACGCTTACCCCCTGCCAAACATCGTCGAAATACTCGACCAACTAGGAAGCGCCAACCCATACAGCAATGAAACATTTCAAAAACATTTCAAAAATGTTGCAATGAAACATGAAATGTTACCAAAAAATATTCCAGAGATATTTCAAAAATGTTTCAGACATATAAAATGTCCGCTTCAAAATAATACCAGAAATGTTTCAGATACAGTTCAAGAAACATTTCTAATATCATTTCTGAAATATTTCAGAAACAATTTCATAAACATTTGAGAAATATTTCAAGAAACATTTCTGATGTCTGATGTGGAAAAACATTTAAAGACACAAATGGTCCAACTATATAAAGACATCATGAGTCAGAAGTGCGCCCTGGAAAAACAAATACTAGAGAACGCCCTATCGCTCTCAACTATAGCGCCTGACGAGATGGCATTTCGCATAATGAAAAATCCAGGATATACAGCAATTTGGTTGTCTTGACTATGTAGCATTTATGATAATGTTGTTATCTTACATAACAAAGACACAGTTCATATAACCAAATCCTCCCATTTAAAACAATAAAATATTTATATGTCTAATATAAATGCATTTAGTTGACACCGACAGATTGTCAAAATAAATCTAACGATTCTGGTAACTCAATTTTCTTGGAGGTAACAAAATAATTATAGTCCCGTTAAATTAATGAAATAGTTGAATCGTTTTTGTTATCCAACATTGAACAGTTTGTTAAGTAGACTATGGTTAAGTTCGGTTGAATAAATAATTGTTGGATTAATCAAATCTTCAAACAACTAAATGCGTTTAGATCGTTGAACAAAATTTTTT